CCCAGATATGGGACGCGAATCACCATCTACTACGTGGGAGTCCAGTGACGTAACCATTACGCCATCTGCTGGTCCTGATAAATCTTACAAAAATAAGGTAAGGGTTACATCAGACTCATCAACATTCCTTTAGGAGAAACATCAGGGTCAGGAGGATCCTGGCAGAAATGCCTATAAAATTCATAGGTTAAACTCTTGTATTGAATACTGTAATATGCTACGCAAAGGTTGAAAAATTTGTGATCCAGTCCAAAGGATAATGCGATGGTGAGTTTCTGTTGATCTCATCAGGCCCTAGAATTTAGGATATAGCCTACAATAGCTAAAAGGATACAGGTGTCTTTCACTGAACATTAAAATTGTTAAATGAATTAGAACTTTTAACTTTCTTTAAAATAGTTTTCCTGGTGAACAGTGAGCCCCACAGTGACTGAAAGAAAACGTGATAGCTTTGAGGATCTTTCTTTAATGGATGTTTATGGGATTGATATAATTGACTTCTTTGAGCTTATTAAGTAGCCTCAGATATAAAATAAAGAGATTGAAACATAAAATGAATCCTAAGGTTCCCCAACGAATTGACCTTTTATCCCTAGAATAGTGCCTACCATAAACTAAGGTATTAATTTCCACAGCCCACTGATTCTGGGAAGTCCTTCGAATTTAACGTCATTTTAATTTCACAATGGCTTGGAGAAAAGTCTCAGCGCATCCTGTAGTCAGAAACTGGTCAGAAAGCCTCCAGACTTGCCGAGGCCACCAAGTGGAGGCGCCCAGCAGGCAAATCGCACCTGGTTTTCAGGCACCAAAGGGCACGCGTTTTTCATGGGCTCTGGGACTGGAGGTCACGAACGGACGTGAGAGAGGAACTCACAAGAAAGAACAGTCACCCGGTTTTCTAGGTAAGGCCTGTGAATTCCAGGATGCACAGGACAGACACCACCACAGAGCCAGAGCGCGGAGCCGGCGGGACCCAGGGACGCCTGCGCGGCAGGACAACGCAGGCAGGACTCACGGATTGCAGGCTCCGCGCGGACCCGTTTTCGGTGGACATGGC